CAAACTTGAGTAAACAAACTTACAATAACAACAACACATATACAGGCGAGGGAATAACAAAGAAAGAGGAATAACAACAACACATATACAGGCGAGGGAATAACAAAGAAAGAGGAATGACGTTTAACAAGAATTGTACGACAATAACAAAATAGAAAATGAAAGAGGAAATGGAAGGATGTAGAAAAATCTATACAGTGGTTGTTGTTGTGAAGTTATTCAAATAAACTGCGTAGTAGAAATTTACGTTACAATTCAAATTCTTAAATTAACGGAATTCATCTAAATGAACTTAAATCTAAAGTTATATTCGTAACATTGCCCCCCGCTTAAGCCTGTTCGTCCCGAATAGGCACAGTTCCCGTTCCGTAGGGGGTCAGCCGCTCCAAATGTACAACTTTCATCTTCGACCTGGGACTGTCGCTCCTCTGGATGCGATAAACGACGTCATTTATTTTCGTGACAATCTTGTAGGGTCCTTCCCAGTGCGTTTGCAATTTGGGGCATAGTCCTTTCTTTCGTTGTGGGTTGAACAATAGTACCAGTTGCCCTTCTTGAAACCCATCGGTATTTGCCGCTCGATCGTACCTTGCCTTCATGCGGTTGCTAACCATTTTTATTCGATGTCGGACTGCATCGTGGACTTTACTAAAAGAGTTTTGGCTGTCTTCATCTTGGTTCACATCGTCGTTTGGGGTAGCGCCGAATATCAAATCGCCAGGTAGCTTTAATTCATTTCCGAACAGAACTTTGGCTGGGGTCCGGGATGTGGAATCATGAATGGCCGATCTATAAGCCAATAAAAACTTTGGAATATGCTCATCCCAGTCTCGTTGGCCACTGTCCACCACTTTCCGTAGATGTTCTTCAAGGGTGCGATTGAATCTTTCCACCATGCCATCTGATTGTGGATGTAGGGGCGTCGTTCTGGTTTTCTTAATTCCGTAGGAGTCACACATTTCCTTGAAGATCGCTGACTCAAAATTCCTACCTTGATCGGAATGAACCTCAGATGGAACACCATAGCGACAAATCCAATTTTTGCTGAACACATCCACAATTGTCCTGGCTTCTTGATTTGGGATAGCATAAACCTCCGGCCATTTACTGAAGTAATCCATGACCACTAAGACATACCGATTCCCAGAGTCGCTTGTGGGGAACGGTCCAGCTACATCCATTGCGATTCTTTCAAAAGGGGCTCCTGAATTATACTGCTGCATGTAGCCTCGACTCTTCCGTGTTGGACCTTTAGCCCTTATGCACCTTTCACAATTGGCGATCCAGTCGGCAATGGATTTTTGACAGCCGACCCAGTAGAATCTCTGTTTCACCTTTTCAGCGGTCTTTGCTATGCCAAGATGTCCTCCACTTGGCCCATCGTGAAACTCCGACAAGACATCCCTTATTTTGGAGTCTGGGACGACGATCAAGTTCCGGTGAGATTTACCGTCCTCACTTTCCCATTTGCGATATAGGCAGCCATCTTTTATAAGTAGACTGTCCCACTGGGCCCAATAGGATTTTAAAAGAGGGCTTTCGGAGGTAATTTCTTTACGACTAGGTCGCTTGCCCGTTTCAATGGCCGAAATTACTTTGCCCAGAATGGGATCTCTTCGTTGTTCCGTCGACCAATCTTCACCCGACTCAAACTGCAATAGTCGGACATCAACGATATTCTCCTTATTCTCAGCCTTTGAGCAATGCCTGCATTCTACCTTGCATGGCCGACGAGACAGGGCATCAGCATTACCGTGTTTTCCGTCTTCTCTGTGCTCGATTCTGTTCAACGGTGACTCATTGGTGGACTGTTGAGCCGTTCTTCTACCATCTTTCGTTGTAGGTGGTGACGATGACCTGGATCGTTTGCGCTTAGCTCTGCATTCGCGTGCAATATGACCTGCTTTATCGCAGTTGTAGCATCTAACCCTGGGCTTAGTCATCCCTACTAACTTTGTTTCTTCTATTACCCGCCTCATGGCGTCCTTGATCAAGTTAACGAGATATTTGTGTTCGCAACATTCGGTCTCCAGTTGGCTAATCTTGTAGGTCTGGGGCTTAACAATCATTCTTGCCGTCTCTTGGGCAAGGGCAAACGACACAGTTTCGGCAAACGACGCTTTTGGTGACGCATATGTTGCACATTTAATCTCAGGGTCACGTATGCCATTCACAAAGGTTTCGATTTTCATACGGTCCAGCAATGGGTGATTCTCTCCTGGATACGCCATTAGCACCAAACGTTCCACCTCAGCTGCAAAGTCTTGTAGCGTCTCGTTTGCCCTCTGTACTTTTCCCCTTAGTTCCATAAGGTAGATGTTTTGTTTATGTTCGCCACCGTACTTACGTTCCAGTGCAGCAATAACATCTTCATAGTTGCTTCTAGAAGCGACAGGAATACTCTGTATAACATCAGCAGCACTGCCCTTCAATGCCAGAAGTAGTGCAACCGCTTTGTCGCTGTCGTTCCACGAATTTCTAGAAGCCACTGTCTCGAACTGTAATTTGAAAACATTGAATGACGTAGAGCCGTCGAATACAGGAGGTTTGATTTTTAGTGTGTTATCAGGAGCTCGCACCGGACCACCTTTGATTTCCAGTTCCGACATTTTCTTCTCCAGATTTGTAAACCTGTGGTCGTGGGCCAGAAATTTCTCATCTACAGACAGAATCTTCTCGTCAACCGACTGCACTTTCTTATCCAACTCTTTAATTTGGATCTCCACGGTTTCCACTCTCCTTCCAATAACTTCCGTAATGTTCTCGAGTTTCTCGTTCATTCTACAATTATCTGCCTTGAGTTCATCTAACTTTCTAAAATTATCTGCCTTGAGTTCATCTAACTTTCTGGAATTCTCTTCGAACATTCTGGAATTTTGCTCAAACATTTTAGCCAGCATTTCTCTTAAATCGTCACCCCTGGCAGCTACTGACGAGACTTCCCCACAGTTGGATTCGCCCATTTCCGATAAATCCACTTCATCCTTACTGTCAAACTCATATGTATCGATGTTCATACCACGGCGCTCGAACTCATCCAACAGACGTTTTTGTAGTTCAGCCTTGTTGCCAGTAGAGGACAATTCCAATTTATTCAGCTCCTTCTTCAAGTCTTCCACTCGTAGATCCTTAAACTTCATCGTAGTATTATCGTAATCTCACTTCCGACACCAATTGTTACGTTCTTGGGTTTTACTCAATCCCGTGTAGACGTTGTTTTATTTCCCGATACAATTCGTACCAAATAAAACGCAGGTTCTTTCGGATTACGATTATTACAATGATTTTATTCACACAACTTTACTTTGCACTTTACTTTACTCGACGGTTTCAATTCGCGATCTGATTCACAACTGACTCACTGCCTTTCCATTCCCTCTATTTATATGAGCCCTGCCTGTCGCTACAGAAGTTTCTAGACGATCTGGTAACACCTAGATCACGAACAATCTACCAATGCAACAAACACATTGAGTAACAATAACAACAACAAACTTACTGAGTGAACAATAACAACAACAAACTTGAGTAAACAAACTTACAATAACAACAACACATATACAGGCGAGGGAATAACAAAGAAAGAGGAATAACAACAACACATATACAGGCGAGGGAATAACAAAGAAAGAGGAATGACGTTTAACAAGAATTGTACGACAATAACAAAATAGAAAATGAAAGAGGAAATGGAAGGATGTAGAAAAATCTATACAGTGGTTGTTGTTGTGAAGTTATTCAAATAAACTGCGTAGTAGAAATTTACGTTACAATTCAAATTCTTAAATTAACGGAATTCATCTAAATGAACTTAAATCTAAAGTTATATTCGTAACAATATGTATTCAACTCAAGATCTATTAATATGGTCACCAAGGTAGCAATCGAAATCGGAAAACAGCTGTTTTTTCTCAAGTCTAATGTCAAAAATTTCGACTTTGTTTACGTTTTCATAATGGACCATGTACCATGCTTAAGGGCTAAGCAGAATGCTCGCGTTGAGCCGTCCGTCGCTTTATATGTTATCGAAAATACAACAACCACAAGGAAACGATAACACCAACGACCGAAGTTATTGTGCACTACGTTTCGAAGTTAAATATATTTTATCTTTTTGCGTGTGTTAACGCGATAACAAAAAACGCTCAATGCGAATATTCTGCTTAGCCCTTTAGTATTTTTGGATATAATTTATGTTATTTTATAGTACATTTATATTATACCGGATTATGTTAACCCAGTGGGTTTTAATTGTCAATTCCCTTACATATTTGTCAAATAAATCCTCATAAAGAAGGATAACCTGAAAACCCTTCTAATGTACAAGTCGTTTTACGTTTCTAATGTACCATGTGCGGAATCAAATCATGATACCATTATCTAATGGTGTTTTTACACGATATGTATTTTACATATGTGCTATCACTTATTTCATCCATATGTAATTCCTTATGTGTGTCAAAATTAGCGGCGTACACAAAACATTTATTTTTGTGTTAAAATCGGCATATGTATTTTACATATGATATAACCTATAAACAAAAAAATCACTTTTATTTTTTCTTAAATCAACAAAATACATATCGTGTAAAAACACCATAACATAAACGTAGCCATAGTCTAATCACGTCAATCGTCAAGGTGCACACGTTTCAAAATAAAGCTATTTGTACGAAAATATGTTCTGTTTCGTACAATCGTGTACCGAATCAATTTTGATAAGCTAGTTGAACGAAGTATTCGTATACAATTTGTCTCTGTGCAATTATTTTAAGTTAATTATTGCGCATTTGTTACCTTTGTTACTGCTAATTACTTATACAAACAAGACTGTTTAATTTGCAGACCCTTCTTCGGTGACAAAAATAATTGAAATTTCTGCTCAAAATGGGAAATTCAACGTCAAAGTCTGAAGGTGGTAGCAACGACGGGGGTGAGGTTCCTGACGGTGGCAGTAACAATAACAAGAGCAGTGGGTATTCTTCAGCAGCCAATGCGCTCAAGGTCGAAAGCACTATGAGTCGTTCTGCATCTGGAGCGGATGTGACTGAGAAATATTTTACACAATTGGTACCAATTGAAAAACTATCAGAAATTCTTAAAGAAAAATCTCTTAAACAAGGGGTCAACGGAATTACTTCGGATGTATTTGTGGTAGGTTGTGATATCATTTGATATGTTGTGCCAAAGACTTTAATTGAACATTATTTGTTTTTTCTTACTTCATCAATATTGTCGAAACTCCACACCCATTGAACAGTCCCAAGTATTTCCACAATATGCAGATCTTGGTCAACGTTTATTCAAGTTTATGCATGCGACGTCTAGAGCAACTACAAGTTACTTGGGGACCGTAGCCTTCCGTCAACAATGCGAACGATTTCTGGGAATAATGGACGATGCTAAAATATTAGAATGCTATATAAGGATGTACGCCCAGTCCGATAATCCGGATTTTGTTGATCGAGAGGGTGTAACTCGATTGCTTCATATATGTTACACAATTGCTATGCAACACTCTGGAAATTCACTTTTATGTCCCTCGGTAAGTTACTTGAATTAAAAGGTACAAATATTTAGAGTTACACAGGAAACTACGTGAAACACACACTGTATATTTGGAGGAAACCATATATAATATAAAAAATTTTCTGATATCTCATCAAAGTGTATATACCTTGATTAGCTCCAATTTTGATGTTGAAGCGACTCAGAAATATATTTATATATTAATGATGAAGTTTTTGTTTCATTTCAGATAAATCGTACGTTCAGTTCTGTGACGAAATCAATATTTTTTAGTCACGATACTTTAAGCGTAGGCTTCGTCTGCCGTTGGTTTGAACAAAATTTAATACGTTTAGTACTATTGGTACACAAATATTGTGTTCATACTCTTTCGACTGCATACCGCGGACTTGAACAGGAAGGCCAATCTTGTGGCATAGAACTACAGACACCGGTTCTAGAACAACGAAATCCATTTCCCGATAAAAGTCAAAATACTCCGTCTGAAGATACCATCGATGCTTCTTCCACTTTGATGCCATTATCGCAAGCCTGGTTATTGGCCGGTGCTTTGCCGCCATTATACTCTAAACCACAAAAAGTTACGTCTCCAAGCGCCAATAAGGCGTCAGCAGCACAAATTTTTATAGAAAAATTGTCGATGATGCCCTCGCATTGGACATTACTGTACGATTCAAATGAACACGGTTTAGGTGCTAACCGCTTTTTACATCACGTCCTTGGTTATCGGGGACCAACATTAATATTGATCCATACAAAAGACGATCAGACCTATTTAATTGCCTCGCCAAATGAATGGAAGGAGACACATCTTTATACAGGCGGTGAAGGCAGTTGTGTTTTACAACTATGGCCAAAGTATGTATAGCTGACAAAATATTTTTCACTTAATTTATAAAAAAATGTCTAAACAATTTTATAGATTTGTGATACTAGAAAAGAAACCAAACATTCTCTACCTAAACACATCCATTCGAGGATATCCTAAAGGCTTACGAGCAGGTGCAGATCCTAGAAAACCAATAATAGCAGTCGATGAACACTTTGAAAACGTTGATTGTAAGGGAATTGCTGCTGTTCTACTTTCAATTGAGGTAAGTAAAATGTGTGATGAAATGAATAGCATTCATGATACTACTACAGACGAGTACGCTTATAATGGACTTTTTTACCTGGTCCGAAGTTTTAAGACATATTTTTCATACAAATCTTTACTCTTATAGCGAACTAAGGATATAACGAACTATTTATTTGGTACCAACATTCAATATTCAAATATTTTAATTTGGTTATAACGAAATTGCTACAAATATTCGTAATAGTGACCTTGACGCTGGCGACCTTTACAAAAATGTCAGCTGTAATGTCAGGTTCATTAAAGAAAAAGAGAAGTAGCTTTAATTATCAAAAAGGACACAAAACCTACCAATTTCTATCTGGATATATATTTTTTCTCTTAAGCCTTTATTTTGCCGTACCATATAACGAAATAATTTGCTTGTACGCTATAACCGTACTAGACTCTATTTGTCCAATTTAAAATTCCGATTCATTAGGCTTCTATAAGGTGTCTGTAGGGTGACTTGTTCTCAACTTTAACTATCCCCAATACACTAGTAATGAACATTGTAGGACATTTTCTTATTTCTATTTTCAACCATTGGCCTATCGATAAACATGCTTGCAAACATTTCCCATTTAGATTTTTTTTATCGAACGTTCCCCACCCCTGTTTACGTTTATCCAAGTCAAATGTTATCTTCCAAATTACATAGTGTGATTCGTTAAAATTGCATAAGGGAGAGTATATATATATATATATTGTCCGGAGTTGATTTTGGTAATTTTTGTTTTTAATTTTTAAATAATTGACAATCCGTTTGTTCATTTTGCTGTTCACTTTCACTCAACATAAATATCCTATTAATAAAAACCGTCTTTCGAACTTAAGAAATCATTTTAATAATAGCTATAGCAATTTTTGGTTTATTTATAATATAACATTTATTAGATTACATGCTTTAAATATATTTATGGTATATCTAAAAAGTTGTTTATAATCAAAATGGATTACAGTAATTAAAAATTAATTTCCTATATTTTATATCATATCGATAATATTTATCAGATTAGTCATCACGCATCAAAGCTTCCATAACAAAAACACAATTTTGGAATTATGTATAATGAAGTTTTGTTATTGTTATAGGTGTGGGGTTGTGGAGATAAAACATCACGTGAAGTACAATTAGATATCAAGAAATGGCAAATAAAAGAAGCCGAACGACAACGTACAGTTAAACTAACCGCAGCAGATTGGATGGATCATCCAGATCGATTCCTTTTGGAATTGGGTGGCCGACAGAATTACAACAATTGATTATCACAAAGTGTTTTTCTCCCTGGGTTGGAATGTCTGAACACAGAAAATGTTGTGCCTTTTTTTTAGTGGCTGCACACATAAGAGACTTTGTATTATAAAAAAACGTTATTTTTAAAATTTTTTATCCGAGCGTATCCAAATTTTCTTATCGTCGCTAATGTTTAATATTTTTGTAGTTTTTTGTTTGTTTTTTTGTTTTGTTTTTTTTTTTTTTTTTTTTGTTATGTGCTCGTGAATGTTTTTCGTCAGTCTTCTTTTACAAAAAATGACCATGAAATAAAATGTACTTAAATGAAATTGTGCTTGTTTAGTAGAATAAAATAATTAAAAGACAAAACTTAAAATAAAATAAAGTATTATTTTAAATAAACACAGAATGTTTAATGTTTTCAATAAAAAATATAGTAAGGTAAAAAATAATATCAAACAGATTTTTAAATAAAATTGTTTTATTTCAAATAAATATAAAACATTTGTTCATGTACACATTTTAATATACAGTACACATAAGCTAAATTTTCTTTTAAATTCTGGATTGGAATAGCTTATAGCTCCTTCTCACCTTTGAATATAAATAATATCGTTTTTGTAAAGGGTAGTTATTATAAAGTATAAAATGTATCTGTCTGGAATGGAGTAATTAATTTTGTGGTAAACATCTGTTTTGATAACTTTTTGTTAACATAATTTCAATTTTCGTGTTATATCGGTGAACGTAAGAACTAAGTATCTATACATATAAACATATTTGGCTCTCTACTTGAATTTTCCTTTGAAGATTCAAGGAAAGCTAGAACAAGCTAACTTTAGGGAAGGACACTTTAGTATTCATAATGATTGATTGCCATAAATATAATTATGTAAAGATACTATACTACGCATTAAAACTTATTCCTTTGAATTTTTCCTAAAACATAAAACTTTTAGTAAAATAAAGTACAAAAAAAAAACATTCAACAAAAAATTAAAAAATATATTTCTATTTCATTCTTAGTTATAATTAAAAATAAATAAAAATAAAATTAAAGAAATCCAGACATGCTTTGTAGTCGTATATTTTTTCACATGAAATATTTTTTCAAGCGCATCATCCTAAACTTGAATCTCCCATAAACAGACTTTGAGATTCTGGAATACACTGGGAATCGGAATTTTAATTGTCGTTGGTACAAAGCAGTTCTGGTAGTAAAAAACCCAAGTGTTTTGTCGGGACACAGGTGCGTGCTTTTGCCATAACGGCGGCTTCGTTTCGTCATTGTCGTTGTAATTGTATTTTGTTTCTATGTGATGGAAAGGTTTTCTATTGTGGGTACAAACTATGTTTGTTATTGTTGGCGTGGTATTGGACCAGTATCGGCTAATTTATTTTGATCTGCACCACCAGGTGAACTAAGCCAATCAGAAGAGTTGTTACTATCGTTACTATTACTACCACCCGTCGATAACTTCAAACTACTAGAAAGTCCAATAGAGATCGATTCGCTAGCAGATGGGTTACAATTTTGGCTGTTGCTATCAAAACGCTGTCATCTCGATGAACCGATAAATGATGAAAAGTCATCGCCTGACTCTGGTATAGGACTGGGGGCGTGAGTGGTGGATACATTTCGAGCTTGTAAAAAGCTTGTACCCCCAGCCACAGGCGCCCCATAATGAGCGGGAAAATCTCTTGGAGTTACTTCGCGCTTTTGTATACTGATGCCACCAAAGTTCGAATGCGTCGCAGTAAATTGATTTTCGTTTGTTGTTATGGAAGCTTTGGATGAGGTTGGACGGTTACCTGCTAATTGGGATTGAGATGGATAATCATTGGTTATTGCTGCATCATAAACTGGTAACACAAGACTATCTGTAGCTCCATAGCGATTGGCTTTGGCAAGCGGTTTAGCATAGTTCGTTCGATACTTATTTCTAATATTACCTGTATTGTCGTCTGAATCAGTCACAGCAGTCAACAATTGACTAGTTCCAGCCACATCACCATCAAGTCGTTTATTTATTAAGTACTCGGACTCACTGCTTGAACGTCTTGGTCCCCGTGACAATGGCTGATAACTATTGCGTCCTTGAAAACGACGGCTTATAGAGCTACTAACCACACCCAGATGCTCCGTAACATCTTCTTGAATGTCAGATATATCGATCATGGATAAGAAGGCCCGGCACCAATTATGATTCGGATTATTCCAGTATTGGGGTGAATTAATATGGAACGGGTGATGTGGGAAACTATAAATATGAGCCACGGCAGCTATGAACATTTCAATACATATCAGAAAATTCTATAATAAAACAAAATAAATTTACTAATTGTTCAATTTGGTTTCATTTGGAAAGTACCTGTAACATGGAGGCCAAATTTGCGTCTTGGCCCAAATCAGTGGAACCAAATATATCTTTAATAATCTTGATGTACACTAAGAAGTTAAGAATTACTCCTTGGCTAAATAAAATCAAAAACAAATTTAATATGTGTCCATCAACAAATTGACTCACCATAGACTTACAAAAAGGAGAAGAATACAACTGCTTTTATGCACAAGAATTTTGGAATGGGTTTCATTGGTTTTAAGTCCTCCTATTAGGGTATACATTTTTTTAATATATTCCAAACTTCAAGACCACTTATCTCACCTTATTAGCCCTATAGAACAAAACCAGACAGTACATAGCTACAAACTGTGAAATATTGTTAATCACTACTATGTATGGAAAAGCGACGTTGCCAGCAAATGTGCCTTCACCATACACTCCACATAGTTCACAAATTCTAAAAAGAAAACGGAAAGTAAATATGAGTGCAATTGATTGGTTAATAGTCAACAATGGGTAAGTTTTTGGTATTTGTACTTGAGTTATTTAGTTCACGAGCGAACTAATTGAGCTGGACACCAATAGTTTGGAGAGTAACGAATGTATTGTTCTTTATCCTATTTCGTCATATTTTTCAAGAATCCACATATTATTAAAAAAACGGTTTCATATTAAATTTCAATTTCAATTTATTTACATTCAATACAAAGAAAGCCATTTAAGGCCAATTATACATGTATTGAGAGATTAACATAAAATAAAGCTAAAACTATGGCAGAAAAATAATTTTATTTGTAATAAAGTTAATATAATAATGTAATAAAAAAAAAAAATAAACGAGAATGGCCCCCCAGCCATATGAATATTGTAAATATAATATAACATACATATATATAAATATATATATAGGATCCCGGTAGCGAAGATTAATCAAAAGTATGCACGAAACACTATCTAATTCAATTCACCATTTGTATATGATTTTAACAATTTTTTATATTTAGAGTAAGAATAGCAAAACATTCTAAGTGAATTTGGTAAACAGTTCCAAATCCTACACACGCGTACTAAAAAAGAGTGCTCAAAAATTGATGTCCGTATAAGAGGAACGTCGATTTGTACGTTACGGGTAGAATTGATAAAAGAGAACTCACGCAATAACGATAATGGCTGTTGTGTTTTTATAATCTTGTAAAAGTGAAGGGCAGTACGTTGATTTATATATTCATTACAGTTGCAACCCAGAAAAAGTGGTGTCAATTCAAGTACACGTACATGATCGTGTATCCCCAGCTGAAAAACATATCTAACAATTTTCCGCACTACCTTTTCAATGTTAGCAATGTTGTAAGACCATGTCCCAGAATAAACTTCAATGCCATAGTTGAGTAAAGACATTAATAATGAGTTAGCCAGATGTATCCTTACATTTTTAGGTGTGAAGGCTTTTAGACTATATAGTCTTCTCAAGATAAAGCATGTTTTCATTGTAATATTATTTATGTGTTCTGTAAAATTAAGATTTGAATCTATTATAACGCCAAGGCACTTTAAAGAATCGACAATTTCAATAGTAAGACCATTTACTGAGATATTGGGATTTAAAATAATATGGCTTCTTGGGTGAAAAAGCATAGCCTTGGTCTTTGCAGTATTTATTTCAAGCTTGCTGCGTAGTCGTAAATTGGAAATGTAAGCAAGATGTGAATTAACACAATTATACGACGAAAATGACTTGAACAATATAAAAATATCATCTGCAAATACATAAGGTTTACATAAGGAACTTTCCATTTCAGAAATAACATCATTAATGTATGAAAGAAAGAGAATAGGACCTAAAATAGATCCTTGTAGATCCTTTTTAAATTAATAAAAAACGAATTCAAAAATAACATTTTCAATGAGAAAAACAATAAATTCATAGCAGCAATACCACTTAATTGAATTAATGAAAATATAGTAAGGAATATATATAGTGATTAACAAAGGAATGAGATCAGAGAAAAACAAATAATTTAAGAACTAGATATAAAGCTGATAGGTTTTAAATAGATCAATACGCTGTTGAAGATTTAGAATCTTGAACCTCTTGATTTGGTAGAGAAATTTTAGCCTTAAGCACTTCACGATTTATTATATTAAATCCAGTTATTTTGCTTTCCTTCTTCAGTTTCCAACAAATTTTAAAAAGTTTGTTTGCTAGACTTGACAAATTATCATTCAAGTATACTCTTGTTAGCGCAGACCCACCAATGACATCTGACACATTCAGTGATTTGGATTTAAAATACGCTTTCATGATTTCATCACGTTTTGCTATATTGTTGAATTTTATCAATATAGATCGACGCATATTAATGTACATTACATTGCCAACGCACTCAGGGGCGATGTCAACCTTCAAAAATGCACAAATGTAGACAACTATATCATTGAGTTTATCAAGATTATCAGGCAAACCAGATACTATTATGTCAGTTCTGTTTAGTCGGTGCTGTAAAATATGGTTTTGAAATTCCAGTTCAACAAATAGATTTTTGTAAGATAAATCATGTGAAGCAACCAAGTCTCTGCAATTTACAACGTCTACCTTGATTTCCTGCAAGCCTTTGGTTAGCTCAGCACGAAAATCATCAACAACAGCATGGAATGAATTTTTAATTTCCGTTTGTTCCTTCTTTACTTCAGTTGCCAGTGAACGAAAAGAGTCTCTGAGGGAAGCGAACTGTTCACGCATCTCCATCTTGAAACCATTTTCAGATGTGTCTGGGGGATTTTCCATACAACTAGCACAAGTGTACGTAATGTTACGGTTTTTGTCCAGCATGTTAAAAAGAGATTTGGAAACATTCTCGCTATCAGCATGGTACCAGGTATCACATTTTCTGCATAGTAGACACTTAGTATTATTTGTTTCCAAGTTCCAAGGGATAACTCATTTTGTCAAAAAAATTCCAAAACAGAAGATCAAAGATATGTTTATGGTTATTTTCACCGTTTAAACAATTTTGTTTATGTTTTAGATCAGTGATGACTCCTAAGACAGTTTAGAAGGTAAAACGACGGCGGCAATAACACTTCAGGCGTTTCGGCGCGTTAAGTCAAGTAGCACTGACTGTCTTTTTGTACAATTTTAAATGGCGGCTTAAATGATCGGCACAAAAATCCAATAAAAGGACTGCAAAAGGGAGCGGCGACCAAGAATTTGTTTTGTTTCGTCGACTTTGTAGTGAACAAAAATAACCAAAAACCACGATTTTGCAATATATTTTGAAATTAGCAAACTATGCTAATAAATATTGTTATTTGCAAATTTCAATTATTTCAGGTTGAGAAAAGTTTGTTTAATGCAATTTCAGCTTAAATAATCCACTGATTCACTTGACAGTTTATTTTTTTTACTACTTCAATAAAGAGGTTTATTTCACACGTCTACCACAGCATAGCGTTGCCACTCTTCATCAAATTCATCAAATTGCAATAAAATTAAAAACGAACGCGTCATTGTCTATGATCGGTCAACGATCATAAACAATGATTGATCAATCAACTGTATAGCGAACTATGTACTAGATGGCGACTAGTTAAATCAAAAGAGCTGAAGTAAAACGATCATTTTTTGAAATATACTGAAATGTGAAACACTATATATATATATATATATTTGAAAAAAGAAATTCTCCTTGCTTTCAAATGTAGCTCAAGTTTAAGAAAGTGAAAACCAGAGGTTTTTTATGTATTAGTCTTCGAAACTTTGCACATCGTAATATTTCTTCCAAAGTTAGTTTAAGTTCGGAGATGGGGTATATCGGTCCACTCCTTCCGGTACCTCTCCCACAAAATGGTCAAAATTGTACTAAAAATTAATTTTTTAATATCATGTGTTGGCGTAATACCGACAAGGAGGAATAAAACCCAAAAAAATGAGAAAAACAAAATAAAACAAGTTTTGTGTAAGAATGTATATTCAAACTATATTTATCCGATTATCCGTTTTGAATTAAACTGTGCACAACCTATTTGCTGTACCAAGCCAAGATCAAGTTCGAAGTTGGAACTCATTGGTCCACACCTTCTAGTACCTCCCCCACAAACGGTAAACAGTTTCTATATTTGTAAATCCAATATCAATCAAATGGAATGTCAGATTTGAACAAAACTACAAATATGCAAAATTCATTATAAAATAAATAATAATTTATGAATAAGCGAATTGTCTCAATTTTTGCTTGGACAAAACTAAAGCAACTCTATAGTACAAACAGACGAAGTCGAAAATGTTAGTTATTTTTACCGTTACTATGTTTTGGTTTCTACACCTTACATATGATTTTTAAAAGGATTTTATTACAATAACAGTAGGCCTATTCTGTAACTTTTAACAACTTTCAATATTAATAAATTTCCTTTTGTTATTAAGTTTGTCCGATAACTTAGTGAGTAAAAATTACTCAGTAACTTCTGTTAAGAGAATTTGTTCTCTCATGGGTGAATATTGAAAAAAGTTTTCGAACAACATCAACAACATGTCAAATAAATTGAAATATATTCAAATTTAATAAAATGAAAATAAAGTTTTTAACACGTTCGTCTGGAAGTTATTACTTTGTTATGGATGAAAATTTGATGATATTCCCTACTGGATTTTGGGAAGAAATCATAACCTTTCATTCATTTTTCGCGTGTGTGTTGAAAAAAATTTCAAATAAACACAAACACTTGTTGCGTAAATTTATGTTATTTTTGGTTATTCACCTCAAGCTGTCCTACCATATATTATTGTACCATGTATGCTACCGTAATAAAAAATTAAATATTGAAACCATTAAATGGTTCAAATGCAATTGTGATATCTACCTGAAAACAATTTGAATTTCAATTCAATTTATTAATCAAAAAACTCCTCATTGGGTTATAAAATTATAAAATTACAAACTAAAAATTCCCTAACGCATATTTTTCTAATTCTTATATATATGCTTAACAAACCGTAATGTTAATTTGTGAGATATCAACTCGATGCTGTAAGCGAGCCAGATATATAATTCTTTTATTCCAAAGAACAAAAATATTGCAGCAATTTAATTTTAAAATTATGTGGTGAGATTGAGAATTTTTTCAATCCAGGGGGAAGCTGGTTCCACAACCTGCGAACAACAAAAGAACGTTCCAGGACCAGACTTTCAAAGCGTTCAAAAAGAATTGCTGTTAGAGTGGAAAAATCGTAAATTATCAGCAATGTAGGTAGGTTACCATATTTCATGGTTTTAAAGAAAAAAAATATAAGCATCGAACATGGAAGTAGTCATCAAAAGAACATCCAAGAAACTCTTTTTCATAAAGATTGCAGTCACGATTACAGTGTTTCCCATAAACGTATTTTAAAACACTATGAAAACAACTACGTAACCTGTGTAAGTGGGTGCTATCAGTGCCAGAATAAACCTCCATTCC